GGATGTAGGATTTAGGGTTTCAAGGTTTAGGGCTTGGGGTTTAGTGGTTTAGGGTTTAGGGTTTAGGGGTTTAGGGGTTAGGGTTCAGGGGTTTAGGATTTAGGGTTTAGGGTTTAGGGTTTAGGGTTTAGGGGTTCGGGTTCAGGGGTTGAGGGTAGAGGGTTTGGGGTTTCGGGGTGTAAGGGTTTAGGGTTTAGCGGTTTGGGGTAAGGGGTTTAGGGTATAGGCTTTTGGGGTTTAGGCTTCGGGGTTTCGGGCGTTGACGCGCCGGCCCCAGACCCTGACGCAAAAGAGGGTTTAGCATCTAGGGCTTTAAAGCTTAGGGTGCTTTATGCTGGCTTGTCGCTGAGACACCAGAAGAAGGAACGTTTACATATTGTATGTCACCGTATGTCCATGGTAACCTAAATCAAGGTCTCTGCCGAGAACGCACTTTGGTATTCAGACTTGGCGGACGTCTTTTAGTGTTGTTGTCCCGGGGGCCGGGGCGGGGGCCGCGGGGTGTAGGGTGTGAAAATCAACCGAGAGTGACGGCCGTTTGTTGCCGCAACAAGAAAGGAAAACATACACAAGAAGCCTGCCAAAACATATAGGTAGTTCTCTAAATTAGGGTCCCTCTTTGAGTCCCGAAACAGTACGGCACCCCTATAAACAGGACCCTAAAAAGGGACCCTAATTTAGATAACTACCCATATCTTTGAGATCTGTATCACTGTCTGAAGTTCGGGCTGCAGGGGCTTGGGAGTCGGTTTTCCAGTCTGAGGCGCTCGGGGTTTTGGTCGCCCTGAGTCGTAGCTGTTGAGAGCATCACGCCGTGGTGGCGTACATGTTAGGTTTGGGCAGTGATTTCAACACTCTTCCTGTTTAGGGATTTGGGTGTGGAGCTTGCCTGCTAATTTGCCCCTGAGCTTGCGGCCTTGGGAGTCCGTGTTTTTAGTTCAAGGTTCGGGGAAGTCGAGGGAAAGAAGCTCTGCTTCAGCCGTCAGTTCTTGGAGTCGTGACTCCTGGTATCAGATCCCCGAGCCATCAGTAGATGTCTTGCGGTTTACCTACTTGTATTGTGTTTGGGTATAGGAGACTGTTCCGTTGTCGTTGCTTAGTTTGACCCTCTAGAATAGAAGGCAGTCTCCAGTTTTTTTCGGAAGCCCCCAATGCGAGAAACACCCCTTTTCCAGCTTCCTTAGAATGTACCCCTCTGCTGTCTGCAGATATCTCGTGAAGCGTGAAGCGTAGCGACCCGATTCCGATCAGAGGCATCAAGCGTGATTGGCTGGACCTGAATGCGGTGGCTTGGCTGCAGAATTCAGGCCTCATCGTGTCAGCGCGTTTCGACAAAAGCTTAGACGAGGCTCGGAGTGAAAGACATGTGGTAGACGAAGCGGAGGGACGAGGAGGGTAGTGGAAATCTTCGCATGTTTCCGAACACCCTGAAGCCGAATGCTTCCATGGCTGTGCTCCTGCACTGCAAGACCGCGCATCTATCAGACCGTTGCGCGGTTGCTTTCGCTTCGAAGCTGCGCGTTTGACATGTCATACCGGAGTACCAGACACCTGGGTTAAGATATCATAAATGTATATTTTGAGATGCACCCATTACTCAAACCTGAGTGCGGATTCCCAAATGCCTGACCGTTAGCCCAAGCCCTGAGCCGAGAAACTGAAAAAGTCGTGGGCCCTGACGAAGCTCAGTAACTGAGTAACTGCTACCACCGATACTACATACCAACACTGCTGCTGCTTCCCCTACTTTCGCAGCTACCACTGCTGCACTTCTTCCCATTCTACCAGCCCAACTACTTGTCACCTACACAAGTGCTTGCAGAATGTTCGTGGCCATGGTTAGCTGCTGCTACTAGTGAGGTTTCTGATCCAGGCGATGCTGTCTCTTATGAAAGTTTGCCAGAAAGTGTTTGGAAAGTTTAGAAATCCTTTGCCACATGTTGAGGTGCAGTAGACCTACAGTCAGAAGCAGTTCGAGGCAAGAGGGCGGCGGGCGATAACGAGGGTGAGGGAAACAGTTCAAGGTTTGGATCACTACAGGTAGTGATTTGATAGTAGGTTTGCTTCGGGGTTCAATGCAGGAATGCAGGGTCGAAAAGTTTGGCTACAGACAGGCACGTCTGCCGGTTTAGGCCCACGTCTTCAGGCGATTCCTTTTGATTTCGGAAGGCTTGCAGGATCCGTATCTAGTCGTGTTTGTGGCGAATCCTGCATGAACTTCTGCAGAGAACATCTGGGAGCGTTGACGCGATCGCAGCACACTGTAGGAAGACATGCAGGGCAGGGTTTGTTGGTGGGTATGTACACACTTTCGGATAGTGGTGAGTGTATGTTTGGGGGTTCCCTTGTGGGGAGACTAGTAATGAAGACGCATGAAGACGCCCAATTTCCTATACCTGAGCTTGATAAAGTACGTGCACATGATTCCGTGTTTCTGTGCTATTGACCTGGGGCCCAGTAGTTAACCTAGTGCAGTGTTGTTGTTCCTCTTCCCTTTTTTTTGCCGGTGGGACGCTTGTCATGGCATGCTCAGGCTCGCCCTCGGGCGCCTGAGTCTCGGAGTTCGAATGCTACAGCACTGCCCATCAATGCTTGCAGCACCCAGCCACAGGAATAGGCTCGGCCCTCCCCTTACCCCATCCTTTTATTTCTAGGTCGGCTTTCAGGCCTTGAACGGTTTCGGGACTTTGGGGTTCACGTTTTGGCATTCCGAGGCAGTCGGGGGGGGGGGGGGGGGCCAGAGGCCGAACCGGTGAAGTTTGATGCTCCAGCCACAAAGACGGTTCGAGCTTTCAAAGAACTGTCTCTGCAGATCGAAACAGCATGTCGGCACACTCCAGATGCCAAGGGTCAACCTGGCAGAGTGTAATTATGGACAGTCAAAGCCCGCAGAAGAGCCTCGACGAGGACCCCAAACATCGATGCGGTGCATCCCAGAAAGAAAGCCTGTTGGGAAGTTGCAGTCCGGATTGGCAGAGTAAGAGTAGTCGGTTTCATGATCTGCTCCTGTGCCGAAAGATGGCCCCTGCGGCATCTGTGTACAGAACTCGCTACCTTCTTTTAAGGCGGACCAGGCTCAATCCCAACGTTGGAGCAGCCAAACAGCAGTTTGCGCTTGCTAGGCCTCACTCCAGGATGCTGTATGCGAGCAATATTCAAACATTCAAGAGTTCGAGCCTGGCAAGCACCATGTTATGTCCATATGGGTGCAATGTGTGCAAAGGCAAGGAAATGCAAATGCGCAGAGGTTCCCAGGGCGTTTCCTTGCCCGATCTCCACCCAGGCAGTTTCATTTCGCTGCTGCATTCTCTGCCGCGGGTCCTTGACATGAACTTGAATTGTCTCTTCACGTGCCTACAGATCCGAAAGCCCAAAAACTAAACACCTCCAATCCTTATCTCCGGGATATGGTGCATGAGTCAACGGAGTGTGCGAGATGGAATGTACCTAACATGGGATCTCAAGCCGATTGAACCGCTCCACGTACCGCATTGCTTAGTATGAAGTGAACTACAAGGTTTGGGGTTCGTACCTGAATGGGTCCAGGTGCGTTTGTTCAGAATGAGTCACCGAGGTCATTCAGATAGTTCGCTCATTTACGTTATACCTTAGCACTTACCCTTAGGGGCTGAGTAGGTAACCT